AATTGAGATTGTAGATAGAGTGTCAATGATCCATTTGAGAGATAGGTGGCGGTAATGCACTTATAAGTCTCTGATTCTGAGACAGTGGGGGTAAGCAGATAAACATCACATTTTCATTTCTGGGTGAACTATCCCTTTAACTCTATGAATATCATCGGTTATGTTAACAACCCATCAGCCTGCGCCATCTAGTTTCATGACTGAACTACATATTACTACTTGAGAATCAGATAGGAAGGATTGTTTATAAATGTTTAATCTGTGTGCTGGTTTCTGTCCTCAGATCCTCTGGTTTATGTTGGTGCTGGTCTTGGTGCTCTGGTGCTGATTTTTACAGTCGTCCTCTTCATATTTATCAAACTGAAGGAGAAGAGACGCTCCTCCGGTTTGACATCGTCTGCACATCGACCTGATTCTCTGATTTATACCACACCGAATGCCAGTGCACAATCAGACAGTCTGAACTATTCCTCCATGCAGTTTATCAGAAAATCCAGATGCAGTGTGAAGACCAGTGAGATGTTTGAAATTAACCCAAATGAACGGGCAGAAACACTTTATTCACCTGTTCAAACTCAACACCAGTCAGACATCACTGATCCAAACTCAATAATCTATTCCAATCTTTGTAAAGGACTGTAGATTAGGTCGATTTGACAAGTGCACTTTTAATTTAGAGTTTGAATGCCTTTCTATTGTTCTCAATGCTACAGATAGAGGCGTTAGAACATTTTATGTGTCTACATGAATATTTGTTTATACAGTGCAAGTCAGCTAAATGTCCTTCAGATTATGAGTCGGTACATACGGCATTTCCCCACCCTCTGTTACAAGGTATTTAAAAGAGAGGTTTGTGATTTCTGGATACTAAAATACTTTCATATCCAGTTAATATGCAGAAGTAAGCCATACATAGACATTCGTTTTCATAAATTATCAAAATGTGCCTTTTACAATTTGGAGAGTTGTAAACAGACTAAAGAGTAAACCTGGAGAGTAAATAGATATATGATTGATCATTCCCTTGAGTTACTATTATCATTTGGTACTATTATGGTACTATTACTATTATATGACTATTAGCATATTAGAACTTGACTGATTTATTGTCATTTCATTGTATAACAAAATATCAAAACAAGTGGAATATATTTTAAATGACACTGAACTGAGTGCATTTAGCGAAACGATTCTGCACAGTTTTTTTGATAGTTTATGTGATGCAATGATATTCACACATTTTTAAGTGTGAGTGAAGTATCCAAAAACTCTCTGAGGCCACTTAAAAGCATATTAACGTTAACAAATTGTATGAATTAAATCTGTTCTGATATTGGTTTGATATGTACAGTGATGTCAAGATATGCTAGGTGTGTGTGTAGTAGTAAGAAAAACAGGGAAGGGGAAGGAGAAGTTAAGCGTTGCACCATATACACCTCAGTACGGAAGAAAGAAACATTTGTCAGTGTTTACGAGTTTAATTTAGTCAAAAGTGCAGTAAATCTTCACCATGTGGAGCTTTCTTCTTCTCTGGTCCTGCATGCGTATCGGTGAGTTCAGGACTCTTGTGTGTGACAGTTTTGCACTTCTCTAATTTTCCACTTGTCTAATATTTTACAATCAGCAGTTGGCATTTCTTAATACGTTAAATGTGCTAATCCTGTCTAGTGATATTTCTGTTTTCAGTTGTTGTTGGTGCTCAAAAAACAGTCACAGGACACAGAGGAGACAGATTTGACATCAGATGCCCATATGAATCTGGATATGAATCAAATCCAAAGTATTTTTGTAAAGGCGAGAGTAAATTTGGAAATAAAGTCATCATGGTTAAATCAGGATCTTTGGCTAAATACCAGAGATTCTCTCTGAGTGACGACACGACGGCCAGAGTTTTCACCGTCACCATCACTGATCTGAGAACTGAGGATGCAGGACAATACTGGTGTGCTGTGGAGAGGACTTTACCTGATGTCTATTCAGAGATTTTGTTGCTTGTTAAACAGGGTAATGTGACTTAAACAAATGGACGTATAGTAGAAATGTACATGAAAACAAGTCAGTAACTGCTCATGTATGAATGAGAGTTTTCTCATTTAGGGTCTTGAACGTGCATGCAAAGTTTCGACGCATAGATGTGTTTTAGAAAGACTGCACATTTTGGTTACATTAGTTGTGTTGAGGTCAAATCGACCTCCATTGGTTTCCATGCAAAAAAATCTTCCGAATCATCCAAAGATAATTTGCAGTTTCTTCATCCATTTGAGTTTCACAGTCAAAAAGTCTGTGAAATTATGTAATTGGTTGTTAGTTTTTTGCATGTCAATTACTAGTCTGTTGTCGCACTGAAAATAAGCAATGGGAAACTAATTTTAACCTCGCAAGGGTTTGAGTAAATACTATTCTTACACAAATAATGTTAGAAATTATTTATAACTAATTGTAGTTATATGCACATCAGGGTGCAAATAGACATTGCAAGTATTCATTGAAAAACAACAAGTAGTCATTCATTTTGTGTCTGTGCAGCTAATTTTGAACAAAAATATGCAGGTCAAATTGATCCCAACACAAAGAGAGGAACTTATTTTTGTTGCATCGTTTATTTTATATATTAGATATTTTAGACTCTGACAAGCTACAGTAGAAGTTTAATGTTTTTACATTACTTTTTATACATCATATTCTTGGCGATATTGCATCCTATTGCATGGAAACCAATGGGGTAACACAAATTCTATTGTAATGTATTAGTATAACTGAAATCTAGTCCATCTTTGTTGTCATCCCTTTAGATAAGAGGCCAGCTGAAGTTACAACCATCAGCCTGTGTTTAATAACAAGCACACGTGTTTCAACAGCTCCTCTGACTCATCAAACCCTGCTAGCACAGACGTCTCCACCTGACTCAGGTAAACACCTCTCCACATCTCACACACTCACTGCTCATGTTTCTCTCACAGAGACATCTGATCCAGCTGAGTGCTTTAGTTTGTCTTGTGTATTTTCAGGTTCATTTGTCATCATCATCACAACAGGAGGTTTGGTTTTGCTCCTGATATGTGCTGTATTGCTTATTGTGGCCATATGGAAGAAAAAGATGTGTGGTAATATTTATGAAGTATATATAAATGAATGAATGAAAAAAAATGAATTCATTAAATGTATATTTATCTACATTCAGATCAGTCTTATACTATTAGGTTTTATTGATATTTTGAATTACTATCCATTTTTATATTTTCCATTTTCATCTCAGTTTTAAAGTTTTAGTAACGTTGTTATGTGTTTTTACAATTTTTATTAGTGTTGTTGTTTTTTTTTTAATATGGCTATATAGTTTTATTATTATTCATTTCCATTTCAGTTTTAGTTATTTTAGTACATCAAGTTAAACTAAATTAAAATGAGAGATGTTAGCATCTAACTGAAATCAAATATATTTTTTAATTATTTATTTATTTCAGTTAATGTTTCCTCTCAAGTAACACTTTTTTTTAAATTGATTTATTTAACTAATAACCCTGATTCAGACAACATAGACACATAGAACTTCATAGTCTGTAATAATGGAAAAACAACATAAAATTACAGGGGTTTGTAAAAACATTTAAATAAAATAATTATTTGATTGCAGATTTCCTTTCTGTTCAGATTTGTATTTATTTATTTATTTTCTGCCAGTCTGAGCAGAACTGTTGAGACAGTCATTGACTTGCTGTCTGGCTAATGTGAAGAACTGAATTCAGTTACTAGACGTTTTAAAACTATAATAACATTCATCTATCGCAGGTCTGGTTTCCTTCTCCGCTGAAGGGCTTCATCTGACATTCAGAAAAGAAGAAGAGGTGAGTCATCTTTATTTCTTCTCAAGTCAATGTCAAGGTTCACATTCTTGCCCAATTCTTCCTTCTTTCAATTTACAGAATACTTATGAGACAGAAAACGCAGCTGTCGTCTCAAACTCACACACAGCTCAGAGTGATGACGTTTCCGAAGCAGCTGACACAGACCTCGACTACATGGATGCTGCTGCTGCAGTGAGAAACAGTGTGAATCCAGATCAGATCCACACAGAACTGAACACTAGTAGACACAGTCACATTTATCAGAGTCTCACCGCTGATTCTCAAGAAGAGTCCATCTATCACTGTATCTATCAATCGATGGACTGAACACTGAAGCCTCATCGTCAAATGATCAACCCTTTTTTTTTTTTTGCTTTAGACTTTTGTTGCATATGTTGCATAAACTTTGAAAATGATACAGTAGCATCAGATAATCTTCTAAGTCTAATAAATGTAAAATGGGTGTAAATATGATCACTTTGTCTGTAAAGAGTGATGTTCACTAATTAGGAAGTGGCTAATCAGGACAATGACATCATCACGCCACTGATTGACTGATGAAATCACAAGAAATCAAACCGTCTCAAACCTTGACTAGATGGGTTTCCTGAGCTGTGACATTAAAGACAGCAGGCATCTATTATGAAATCATGAAATGTTTGCAAATGGTGCAATTACAGAAATGATACATATTTGGTCTGGAAACACATTGAATGGTCATCAATGGAAATGGATTTTGCAGCCAGATCAGCACAGTCTAGTTGTTCAAAAGTAATCTAATCAGATTTCGGCTTTCGGATTGGATCAAATCTTGAAAATGGTTTGTTCAAGAGAAAAAACAATAATCTAAATTGGAATAGATTACAAAATCCAATCTTGGTTTTGATCTGCATCAAACAAACCGTCAGTATGTGTTGTTCAAAACTTTTTTCAAAAAGATTGAGATACCTTAGATCCCAAAAAAAAACAAAAAAAACACCAGTATTATAAGATGCAAAAACTATCAAAAAAAATACTAAATTTGTATCATGCAATATGTGTGCACATTTATATTTTTATTTTGCTCTTGATCTGTTTAACCATTATAGTAGAAATAGACATTAATCCATAAATAATGCTCCAAACAGCTTTCAATATCAAACAAAAATAATCATTAATCACCATCAGGTCATGTATTACTGTATATTAATGACAATCATCAGAGATTAAAGGGATAGTTCACCCAAAAATGAAAATTATGTCATTAATTACTCACCCTCATGTCGTTCCAAACCCGTAAGACCTTCATTCATCTTCAGAACACAAATATACAATATTTTTGATGAAATCCGAGAGCTTTCTGACCCTGCATAGACAGCAAGGGAACTACCACATTCAAGGCACAGAAACACAGTAAGGACATTGTTAAAATAGTCCATGTGACATCAGTGGTTCAACTGTAATGTTATGAAGCTACGAGAATACTTTTTGTGTGCAAAGAAAACAAAAATAACGACTTTATTCAACGATTTCTTCTCTTCGGTGTCGGTGCAGCTTGTTTTCAAGCAGAGGAATGCACACGCATGCGTCGTGGTACTGTCATGAACGCGTGTCGAGGACTGACACGGAAGACAAGAAATTGTTGAATGAAGTCATTATTTTTGTTTTCTTTGCACACAAAAAGTACTCTCGTATTCTTTGAACAAGTACCCTCAGGTGCTAGAGGGCTCTTGCTAAGCAGCTAAACCTCAATCACTTGGTAATAACAGGGTAGGTTTGACAAATTACTTTTAATGTGCTGTAAGATGTATGAAGATGCTACGCAATAAATACATTTATACCAACAGTTTTTTTTCTAGAACACAGTTACACACCTACATGAATAGAGATGTCAAAATCTAGGTCAGTGGGTCTTTCATAGTCTGTTATGGAAAGAACAGTGTTGATCTGACAAATGAGCTTTAACTGAGAATTTAAATGCCCTTAAATCACCATTATTACCAGTCATAATGAAGTCTTAAAGGGGTCATATGATGCGATTTCAGGTTTTCCTTTCTCTTTGGAGTGTTACAAGCTGTTCGTGCATAGATAAGATCCCTGAAGTTGCAAAGACTAAAGTCTCAAAACCAAAGAGATATTCTTTATCAAAGTTAAGACTCTGACACGCCCTCC